CCCCCCCAGCAGAAACGAGGAGTTAGTTACCCGCATTGGCTCCTCTTCCTTGGTCCCATTGCACCCGCTTTCTCCCAGTGACCTGCGAGCAATGGAGGGCGATCGCCTTTCTAGATGGGAAGGCTCCTGGCAGCAGCTTAAGCAAACACAAGCAAAATAAGCTGGTGTAAGAGGATCCTTTAGCCCAGGGTGCTCAACCTCTGGCCTGTGGAGTCATGACATCAGGTCTGTGGTCAGTCAGAGCCACCCCCTTCCCCTCACAGCCCCTTCCCCATGTGTCCAGGCCAGGGCCCCTTCCCCCCTGCAGGGCTGGGGTGTGGCCCATGCCCCTTCCCCCACTAAGCTGGGTCAGGGTCCCTTCCCTGGCTGGATGGGGCTGTACTTGCCCTGGGCACTGAATCAGGGCCATCCAGTTAAGATTTGTGGTTTGCAGGCTTACCTGGCATTGCCTTTCTGGCTTGCTAAGGAAAAAGGTTGGGCACTGCTGATTTAGCCTGATTAAAAAAAGGGATTGGACAAATTCTTGAAGGAAAGAGTAGCTATTGAGCATTGGAGCGAGGGCTGCAGCCTATGAGTCAGAGAACCTCTTAGAGCTTAAATGTTGGAGGCTGCAAGTGGGAGAGGAACAAGAGAAAAAGCCCTGCTCAGACCCAGTTCACCCTCTCTTTCAGCATCCACTCTCTGCTTCTGTATGACATGGGACACGAGTCAGATGGACCTTTGGTCTGACCCTGTAAATGGCAATTCTTGTGTCCTTATTTAGGGTAACATGGTTTTTACACTGTGGGGTGTTAGTTAACTGTTTTCTCTCTGGTGGTTGAGAAATTAAAGTGTTAAAATAACTCCCTGGTTTGTGGGGTTTCTTGCACAGATTCTTTCTGGTATCTCAGTTATATTATTGCTACAAACGTGCTGATGCCATTTTTATCAGGTTTAAAACCTTTTTGTGGTTTGCACATGACAGCGCATCACAGTGTGCATCTTCATACCATGTCTTGTTTGCCATAAGTCTAAGCAAATATCTTATTTAAACAAAACCCCACTGCTGGGTATAGGTATGCCAGCATTACAGTGGAGTGTTTGAAAAGGGACTTGCATGTGGTA